CAACAGGAAAGTGACGTTGTCTACTGTAATGAAGCCTTTTTATTTGCCAGAAACATGTAAATGTAAAGCAGCATGTCATTTTTTCCAATGCTCCTTTCCCCATGTTCTCTTCTGCACTGAGAGGTGATGGACAGGCTAATTGTGGAGTGATAATGGATGCCAGACGGTTACAGGTAGATGCAAAGAGGCAGTTAGTCCTTGATGGCTTTGTTATCTCCATTGATAATTACACTGACAATGTTCCAACTGTAGTCAGGTCAGCAGGGCTAATACCTAACAAAACTGCATCTATTATCCCCCACGTTTCCCTGTGACAGAAGACTTTGTGTCCAGGAATGCAGAATACATGGACATGAATGATGCCCTGTTGCTTGTATCCAATCCTGAATCCTCATCTATATTCATTGAAATCCTCTTGTCCCTAGAGGGATGAGGATTGTTCTGAACTGCATGCAAGTTATTTATTGATACGGCTAACAATCAGGGAAGCAGAAACAAGACGTGTTTATAGGCTTTTGAATTATACTGATATGCTAATGAGATCATTAAACTATGTGGAAAATGCCCCCCGTATAACATTTTCTATTAAGCTATTGAAGGTCGGACAATGATGTTAAATCTGCTTTGTTAGATCTTGTACAGTGACTGAAGGACATGTTTAAACTCATTACATCATATTTCATTTAGCTGATGTTGTCAGGAAAACTAACTTGTCTGCCCAAAAAAAATCACAAACCCAATCTATTAGACTAAAAATAAAGGTGGAATGAATCAAATGAGTGCTGATTGCGGCTCTCATCTTAAATGAGCCAATCAGAGTCTGGGGTCGGCAACCCCTGGCACTGGCACGCGGCACCGTAACCAGTGGCACACTAGGAATAAGTGGAATAAGTGTACAAAAATATTTAAATTGTATTTTCGGATCCTGAACGAGACCGCCGCCAGAGCGCGTCTCCCCGTTACCTGCAGAAGGAAGTCATGCAAGCAACGCAGCCCCGCTCTCTTTATCTCCAGGTGACTTTCTGCCGCTTCCCTCCGTGGTGCAGTGCTGATCGTTTCACCACGGAGGAAAGCACTTCACTAATTGCAGTACCCATAAGGAGCTGTACAAATGCCGCAGTGTTTGCGTGGCTGTGTATTTAGTTGAAAGCCCAGTGGCGATCTGCTCATCTCTCATCGAAATAATATGCTACAAAGGGGCGGACTGGCCATCTGTGTGTTGAACTTTCCTGTCGGCTCCCAGACCGTAGTCGAGGAGGGCAGAAGCAACACGCTTCAGGTTCAATAACCCACTTTAGCTTAAATGACTGGAGAGAGGCGAGCTCTTCTTGGGAGGCCGTTGCATTTATTTAGCTGTTCTTCTGTTTCACAAAATACATCACAGACCTCTGTTTTTCTGCTTCCTCGTTTCACTTCCAGAAACATACACACGTTCTCTCCATAGCCCTCAATGTCGCTCTACCATCCACAAACACACATGCACAAACCACACCCCTCTCTCTCTCTCTCTCGGGTCACGGATACGCACAAAAATAGTTCCGACGACCACTCTAACCTATTCAGGACAATAACCAGTGGTACCTTAACCGGACTTAAGGATATTATCAGAGATCTGGGAAAAATAAAAACGTTAGGGGGTAGACGAGTAAGTTGGAGGTAGGCGCTTTATGACGTTTCAGGAATAAATCGTCTTTGTTCCCAAGACCTTCCTACTTGTACGGTTTTTTTTGTATTCATTCATCATTACACCTTATGAAAAGGACAGTCCATTATAGGGTCTGCATCAGCTGGCTGTTTGTCCCGTTTCGTTGTGCGACAATCCAAGTTATTGGGGTGAAATCGAATTTACCACCCCTCTCCTGCTCGAGTAAGAACCCTCCTGGTCAACGTAATAATATCGACAAGAAGACAAAGTGTTTTTATGTAGTGTCTTGAGACATAAAAGCGGACGGTAGAAAAGTGAAGGTCTTTGTATGTGTGCAATGGAGTGACAGCAGTAGATTAGGTGTTTGTGTGGTACGTGTTCGGTTGGGGGGAAAGAGAGAGAGGAGAGAGAGAGAGAATTTCCCTTGTCGCTAAGTAGAGTGAGACGTACTGGGATTATTAGGTATTGTTATCACTACGTGAGACCTTCTTATGTGGTCTTGCCTGCTAGCATGGAAATAATAATACGTCAAATTGGTAATAAATTTACACAACTAATTAAGCCGTAGTACATTCAACACGACTGTTCCTGGTGTGTGACGAAGGGTCGTCGCTCCGAGGGGGCTGGGGAGGACGACTATCAACTGTCGCAAGTCGAGGAGTTGGGGGGGGCGGGTGGGGGAGGCAACTATTTAAAAGAGCTAGCATACCGTGCGACTATTGTTAAAAAAAGTATATTTTTCCAACGCTGAGGATCGACATACTTTTCTCACAACCTACTACTTCACAGGTCTCGTTCCCGGACACGAAGATAAATACTAAATTGAAATCTCCTAATCTGACTCCCTTTACGACGACATGCATAGTGACTGGACGTTTATCCTTCAGACGAAAGAATGTTAACAACAATTTTTATCCCCTCTAACTTTACCCCTTCGATGGACGTTTTCTCACCATAGTAATTCAGTATCAAACCCATATGATTCAATGTGGTATAGTTGATCAGTGGTAAGTTAGAGGATAAAAATTTTGGTTAACTTCTTTCGTCTGAGGATAACGTCCATGTCCTATCATGTCGTCGTAAAGGTAGTCAGATTTAGGAGGATTTCAATTTTAGTTTATTTCGTTTCGGTAACAGACTGTGAGTAGTAGGTTTGTGGAAAAGTATGTCGATTCTCCCAGCCGTTGGAATAAATATCTTTTTACAATAGTCGCACGGTTGCTAGCTCTTTCTTAAATAGTTGCCTCCCCCCCCCCCCCCCAACTCCTCGAACTGTCTATGTTCCCCCCTCAATTGTTGATTATTGTCGTCCCTTTCGCCCCCTCGGAGCGACGTTCTTGTCACCACTACCTGGTTATGTTGTTGTTGAATGTACTACGGCTTTTTGGGTTTATTTATTTGCCTGTTATGTAGCAGGCAAGACATAAGAGGTCTCGTGTGTACATACATATTAATCCCAGTACGTCTCACTCTACTCTAGCGACAGGGAAATT